ATATTTGGTTTATAAACTATGACATTTATAAATGTATGAATCATATGGTGAAAAACTGACTTTGAAAAATAAATCTGTTCTTTTTTTCTTATTAAAGGCTAAATAAAACAAAAATATTGGTGGTAATTTTTGACTGTAACTTTACAAACGGCAACCCATAATATCTTCAAGGTTTGACCAGAATAATCACATCTATCATTTAAAACAAAAGGTGGCAGGTGATTAATCTTGCATCTTTCTGAACAAAATGAAACTGTAAAGCTAATATTTCAGTCCTTGTCCTCCCTTTGTTTTGTGAAATACTTCTCAGCATTGATTTATTGATCTGGTTCTAAACTCAGATTCCTCAGATGAGAACAAAACAAAACAAAACAGTATTTTTCCATCTGGTCTTTGAGACAAAATCTCTTTTTGTTCCTTTAAGTGTGTTTTGTTTTCAGTTTGAAGAGCTCAAATAAAAGCTTTAAGCCTGTAACCTCAGACATAATATCTGTTTAACATCCATTTGGTTTCTTTTTAGCCATTTTGACCAGCTCTCCTGAAAAATACCCATCATTTATTACCTCATCTTCATGGGATCAAAATAAACTGTTTCCAGCTCAGAACGTTTGTGGGCGTCGAAGCAGATGTGAAAACAGATTAGAGAAATAAAAAAAAAAGTCTGTAGGTGTAAAACAAAGAGAGGATTAACGTGGGTTCTGCAGGCTACAATCTAATAGGACTGAAAAYGAACACGAGCAATCTGAGAAACGTGTCAAAGAAAACCGAAAGGTTACAATGAAAACGCGTCGTTAGAAGAGAACAAACCAGGATTAATTACAGTAAAAGTATTTAGCTGCTACTAAGTTGTGACAAAACTATAAAAACATTTAAAAGAGTTAAAGCTGTTGAATTAAACAATACTGTCAATAAAATTATAGTTGAAGGAAACAACGCAGATGCTGCTGTTTTTTAAATCTTCCAACTCTTTTACCATCTGAATAAAACCATTAAATAAATAATTTATTCTCATTTAATCTCATGGATTCGCTGAACATTTTCATGCCAAAACATTTTTATGTCAAACTTTGCTTTAACGGTTCAGTCKATGTGGGGTCAAAGGTCGAACCAGCAGATCTTAAATGACCAAAAACAAACWAACCAAGCAAAATAAAAATCTGTGCAACCAAAGCAGGATCTTTAAAGTGAGCGTCGGTAACAATGGCTCTGCAGAAACGTCAGGAATGTCTTCATTTCCTCCTCGGTGTGAATGTTTACTCTCCAAATGTTTTTCTAACCGAGTGAGGCTGAAAAATCCTGGAGAGAAGGAATTTGAGTTAGAGCCAGGTTTACAAAAATACCTTTTAATCGATCTGAGACAATGTAGAAGGAACATTTTTTAGACAAAGTAGATTTTTAACTGATTTAAAAGTCAATAAATTTATGACAACAGAGTTGCTGTGATTTTAAAACCTGGAGAAAAAATCTCATGTTTAATGAAAGCTCTTTGTTTCCATCTAGAGTTTAGTTCCAGGAATCACAGAGGCTCATCGACCCACTTCTCCTAACTAAATATGACCTTATTTTAAATTATGTGTTGATGGCAGCAGATCATGGTCACTGTGTTGTTTTGGTTTTGTTGGACCGGTCAGCGGTCCTCCATCAGACTCTTTCTAGAACTGTTGGAACACGGGCCAGAGCTTTAGAAAGGTTCAGATCCTATTTATAGAGAGAAGTTTGTGTGTCCGTGTTGGATCTGCTGAGTCTTCTCCACTGCCTCTCATGTGTGGAGTACCTCAGGGATCCATTCTTGGACCTCTTTTCTTTTCACTCTACCTGCTTCCTCTGGGTGCCATTCTCAGAAGATATGGCATTGCTTTCCATTTTTATGCTGATGATACCAGATTTAAGCTATTTGTTGAAGTGCATTGCTGAAATTAAATCTTGGATGTATAATAATTTTCTGCATTTTAATGACTAAAAGACAAGAGGTTATGTTGTTTGGGCCTAGTGAGAGTTCTAAACCTCATGTTGACCTGGCCTGTAAAGCTGGATTGCAGCCTTAAATTTGATGCACAGCTCTGTTGTCAAATCTATCTTTTTTAATCTGAGACAACTAGCTTAAGTAAAACCTTTCCTTCTTTGCATCACTTTGAAATGCTAATTCGTGCTTTTATCACAATTTGTTTAGATTACTGTAATGCCCTTTATGTTGGCCTCAGTCACAGGTCACTCTCTAGACTCCAGTTGGTTTTAAATGCTGCTGCTCAGCTTTTAACCACTGCTAGAATCAAGTGCATATTACTCCTGTTTTAGATTCTCTTCACTGGCTTCCTGTACGTTTTAGGATTGATTTTTAAATCCTTTTCTCTTCATTTGATCTGTTCCCTCGTCTCTTAGGTCAGCAGATCAGTTAGTTGTTAGTCGTCCCAAAACTGGAATATTTTACAACATATCAGGCAAACGGAGTCTCATGTTTTAAAGTCTTCTCTTAAAATGTACTTTTTCTCACTGGTTTTTAACTCGGCTTGAAGTGTTTTTATTTCTGCCTATGCAGCCCTTTGATCAACTGTTGTTTTTAACGTACTTCATAAAGCAAGCTGAAAAAAACCAAGAGTCGGAGTTGTTTTGGTTAAATTTCAAAAAACATCACACAGGATGAGTCGGTGCTCAGACTATGTGTTGGTGAGGACTCTCAGGTACTACCTCACCAAATTTAATATCAGAATCTCTAAAACTGAATGGGGTTTGGCCATTTTTGTGCCTGAGGGTCCATCAGACGTGGCGGCCATCTTGAATTTAGCGGTCTCCCAAAGTTAGCTCAGCTGTGGATGACCAGCCCACGTTTATTATTTTTACTTTTATTCCAAATTGACCGATGCTGAACCACAGTGGTGATAATTTACAGTTAATTAAGGAAAAGTACAACTACTTACGTTTGATTTTGTGCGTTAATCGTACACTTCTTTTTATTTTGTAATGAAAATCAGCATCATTAAGAGCATTATTAACAATAAATCCACAGTATTTTTGTATCTTAACTCTAAACTTTGAGTGGGGAAATGTTTTGTGCAACATAATTTATATTTTTGACATAAAGTCCTGAAAAACGGCAGAACAAGTTTAAAATGTCACATGTGGCACCTTTATTTTGATCAGTTCTCATTATAAATGTCCAACCGAACATACGGTTCCCTTTTATCGAGTCCTGTAGGTCCAGTTCGCTCCGACAGGCGGAGCTGAGCAAAACGTTTTGCTGCTGCTGGTCCTTCCGCCTCAAACTCCCCCCCACCCCCACCCCCCGCCCGAAACAAACAGCCGCAAAATTCAACAAAACGTTAACGACAGCGGGAGCCGCTGTTCAAGTCAATGGCATGAAGGCTGAATTCAAACAACTCCAACTGAATCAGGCACTTAAAAAGTTCTGTTCATAAATGAGTCGTGCCGTTCAAGACTGAAGCTGGAGTAGTGTGCAAAAACACTGAATACAGGAGATCTGTTAAACATGCAGAGCAAAATGTAAACATAAAGAAAAATACCTAAAGACACTTTTACAAACTAAGCTTAAATACCCAAACAAAAAGGAAAACAAAAAGTTATACTGGTTTACAGAGTATAAACAGAAAACAGCTCGTCTTCAAATGACTCAGTGGCGTTTCGTCGTCAAACAGAACAAATCAAACGAGAAGCGAAGCAGAGAGAGAAAACTGGTCCAGTGGAGCTGTGGGGGGACTGGGAGGGTCCAGGCTCAGAGCCTTCAGAGGAACTGGTTTGTACTTTTAAACTTCAGCTTGAACCAACAAAGCTTAGGATGAATAATTCAAAATATTTCACTTTAAGCGTCAGCTCGAACAGCAGCCTTTGGCTGCAAACACTGTTCAACGGTCACTAAAATATCTGAAGATAACTGGAGTTTTCTTTTACAAAATGTACATTTCATTTAACCAAATCTGATCAAACATAAAAGTACATCTATTTAAAATATGCTTTTCAGCAAACCTAGTTGCTACAAAACAAACAAATTAATAATCTGGAGTGGCAGCACGTCTGAAGCAAAGTTAAAGTTTAACAACGAAATAGAGTGTGGATGATTAAATCAAACCAAAGCCAATGTTTTTTTGTACTTTAACTCTGAAACTTCAACAAATTTGGCAAATGAAGGAAAAGCTTGTTGGTTTTCAGAAAATCTAAACTCAGTGTTAGCATGTCGAGCTAACAGAATTAACATAAATCTTATATTTGTGAGTTATCTTGGTGTTCCAATCTCAACAATTATATTGTTAAAACTAGACTCAACATTTTGCCTTTTTAATAGCATAAAATTAAAAATATCTACATTTCAGACAAGTCAGCTCTTGTTCTTGTACTTTGACAGTTGTGTTTATAAAATAAAAGAAAACAAAGAACCGTAAAAATGGGACTAACGGGCTAATCGGGTCAGTACCACCGCTAATTTTCACTGAGCTAGAAACAAAACTAAGAGTTTATTGGCCGACAACATAATAGTGAGAAATTAACCTTTTTTTAAATTAAAAAAGTAGTCAACTGTGAGTTTACGTGGATTATATCCTACCGTAATCAGAATATTTATTATTAGCATATCTGGCTAACAAAGATTAGCACAATGCTACCTGCATCATCAACTGCATCATGAAGGGAAATGTTTATTTATTCATAATTTATCTTTTTAATTTCAAATGAGAGAACTGTGTCCTTATGTAGCTTACTTCCGTTAGAATATCATGCTAATAAACATCCCAACAACTAAACTAAAAGGTTTTCCTTTCAAAATCTGAACGTACTTTGTTTTGCTGCAGTTTTACGATTTTTAAAATTTTCTCACAACCGTTTTGTTCACTTCAAAGTGAAAAGCGTTTAAAAGGTGTACAAATTTGCTCCTCTAAAGTTACAGCTTTACCGTTTCCTCCTCCCCAACAATAAATACAGGTTTGAGATGAAGCAGAGCCAAAACGGTTACAGTAGATCCTCTGCTGTGAAAATTATTACTGCATCATGAAAACATCACTCTGTAGGTTTTGTTGTTGAGGATAAATTAAAAAAAAAATCAAAGACAAATAAAACAAAAATGTGAAATCCCATGGAGTCTAGTGAAGCACTTTGGTGCATCTGCTCAGAACTCATGCTCTCACTCACAAATAATCTGTTACATTAAACCAAACAGTCAAATAAATCAGAAAATAAACCCAGCTTCTGGTCAGTCCTTAAAATATTCTCTCTCTAAACAACTCTTCAGCTTTTGTCACCGTTAAAATATTTAATGACATGTTTTTTAGCTTTAAATCGAGCCAAAAAGTAAGAAAAGAAAAGAAAAATAAAGATAATATGGCCATAAGCTACATATTGGAAAAATAAACAGCACCTTTGTGTATTAGTTTCAACGTTCGGGTAAAATAAAATATATCGACAAATTGGAAATATAAACAAGGTTGTTTTAAATATGAAAAAGCATAACGGTACAGTAGGTGTGCAAATCTGAAACATCTGTGGCACAAAAGCAAACGGGAAAGGCTGATTTAAAGGGATACCTCGTTGTTTTACAGGGAGTGATGGCACTAAACCCTGCTCCGGATATTTTTATACAATCTTTAACACGCTTTTAACAAAAAGACTGAAATACTCATTTCACACCACTAGGTGGCGAAAAAGTCCACAATAACAAAATCTCAAAACAGATCATTTTGGCTGAAAAATGCTTCCGTAACAGCTATAGCTTTTATTATACTCCTTTTAAAATCATGTTTAACCTTTTCTTAAATGTGCTAATCTGAGTTGCGTGGTGAACGATTCAGGATAAAATGAGTCAGAAGTAAAAAAAATTAACATAAACACGCCTTCATTGTTTTATTTTTTTGGTTTCTAGAGCACAAAGTGACCATTAGCTGCTACATGATCAGTTTTAAATTAGATTTTGTGAATCTGTGAATGGTTGTTGCTCGGTGTCGGTTGTCTGGTATTTCTATATTTACCCTCTTCTTTACTTCACTGAAACCTGAAGATCTGTCTCGTAAAGTTATGAATTTAAAATGTTTGATTTGTGTATAAATGTTATGTTATAAAGATTATGCTAATTAGTGCTAGCTTTTCTATGGCCTTTTCAAGGTTAAGTTAGCATGTATGCTAATTGTTGGTTGGCAGCTTGTAATTAATAAAATATTTTGACATTTATTTTCTTTTACAAACATGTAAACATTGAGAGGATAAAACAAAGGATGTGTTTTGCACTCACGATTAGACATGGAAATATAAAAACGAGTGTTAATGTAAAATAGATTATAAACATTTTATCACAATAAAGACCTCCATCTAAGGGGTGAAAAAATAATAAAAATATCCAAAGTAGTGAAGACAGGGCTTAAAATTATTAAAACATTCTTCAGACTTTCTTTGGTGGGAGTGAACGCTGTACATTTAATTATTTTCATTATGTTAAACCGTAAACAAAGCTTTAATATTTAAATTGATGCAAATCACTTTTTACCATCAGACGTTGGGACTGAATCTATTCAGGGCTGTCACAATTCTTCAGTGTAGTTAGGAAATTTAACGTCAATATTGTTATTTTTAATCATCTTTAATTGCTTGAAGGTTTTGACTGAAATGACTTAACGGTGGAGGAGTTCCCCTACATCTGAGCCGTGGTTTTAACCAGTCCTGGCAGATAAATTAGAGTCTGAACAAGTTATAAAAAGTTTTCAAAGACTAAAGAATGGGAGTAATTCATGGTAGCTTAGAATAAAACAGTGGTTTGTTTGCTCTATAAGGTGACACCAGATAAATAATCATTAATTTTTTTGTCATGTTAGAATTGGCACTTATAACGTGTATTTTGTACTTTAACTCACAAGTCTTTGTTTAGATTTCATAGAAATAAACCGTGAATGATAAAGCAGACACAAAAATAAAACATTTGAGGATAATGATCAATAGTATAACCAAAAGTCAGGATTAGATCTCCCATTAATATGATTAAGATTGATGAAACGTTAATGAGTGCTGTATTTCGGAGCCAGATGAGGAAGTCCCGCCTACTCACCCCTCCCACCTCGTTCACACTGTCAATCACAGTGAACATTTCTCCTAAAGCCTTAGCTATGTGGATAAACATGTTTAAAATGTCCATTTGAACAATATGTAAAAACAGAAAATTTAAATCTGAATCTAGAAATATAAAAGGGGCGGGACTTATCACTTGCACTGCAGCTGGCCAGGAGAGGGCGCTACAGAAAGTTATCTGGATCATTTGGGGCAATAATTCTATAAAAACGCAGGTTAGTTAGCTGTGGGAGGGCAAAAAGAACCTGAGGTAGTTGAGCTACATGTGAGATATGAAGAGTGGTGATGAAGAAAGACTGACAGGAGGAGGGCAGGGCCTAACCGGTGGTTCGGTTAATGTGAGGGGACGATAAAAACATGGAGGTATCCCTTTAAGCGGATGTATCTGAAGCCAGCGATGAGGCAGATCGCGGGCCCTTTAAGGCACGTGGTGTGAGCTAACGAGCAGGACTATAGAAACGCTTCACTTAACAAGCTAGTAAGGTGAAGTCTGAGCTTTCCATTTAGAGCCCTACATTACATTTAAACACTTTATCAGAAAATAACTATAGCTCTTCAGAAGTAGAGTACAATTTCCAAATGAAACTAGCAGACTACAGTACACTGGATGCTATTTAATGAAGTCTGGATGCATAGCATCACCCATAGACGTGAGCTGTTCATTCTGACGCGAGTCTTCAGTGTTTCAGCTGAATACTGAAGCTGATAGTGTTGTGGAGTCCTGGCAATGTTTGTTACAAACTGCTGAGTCATGGTTACAACCTGCTGCTTTGTTTCCGTCTAACAGAGAGGACAGGATCAGTGATTGTCAGGAGTTCAGGAGCGGTCCAACGTTCCTCCTTGAACAAGATGGACCCTGCTGGTCCAGATCCTGGGAGGCGGGGCTAAAAACAGTGTGTGTCWGAGTTAGAGGGTCCGGCTCCTGGCAGACCCACAGGACCAGAACAGGGAGCCGGATCTCTCTCCTCCAGGTTCTGTAGTTTACTGACGCTTTGCTCCGCCTCCACCTTCACGCTGACTCCTCCCTCCTTGGTCTCGGTCCTCTGGGTTTCGGACTCGGGTGGAGGGGGAAACTTAGTGAACCTGGTCCCGTTCAGGTCCTCCTCCAGTTTCACCTGGAAGGGCGGCAGACCCAGCAGGAAGGCCCGGATCCTGCTGGGGGAGCTCAGGTCTGCCGGTTCCTCCTGGCTCCTCAGATCCACGTTTGGGCCTCCGGCTCGGACTCCGGAGCTGGACCGGGCCCCCAGGCTGAAATCCTGCGCCTGATCCTGGAAGCTGGGTCTGGAGTTCTTGGCCCCCGGCGGGTCCGCGGTCCCGTTGACGGCCTGCCAGCTCAGCTCGGGTCCCTCGGCGCTGGTTCTTTTGGGCGCGAAGCGTTTGCTGAGGTTGAGGGGCAGGGCCTGCTCGGGGGGAGGGGTGATGGGGGAGCAGGTGGGTTTCAGGGTCAGGTTCTGGGACAGGGCCTCGGAGAGCCGGCGGGTGAAGGTCTGCAGCTGGGACGGGTCATGGTGCCGGGTCCTCATCAGCTGCCTCACCTGGACGTCACAGTCCAGGTTCAGGGGCAGGACCCGGAGCGGGGGCAGGGGAGGTCGGCTTCGGGGGTCTCGGCCGGCCCCCCTCTGCCCCCCGTCCTCCATGGTGCAGCCCGAGCAGTGGTTCTGGTGGAGCTGGTCCACGCTGGGATGAGGAGGGTCTGGGCTGCCGCTCTTGGGCTGCAGGGTGTAGATGGTGGGCCGGTGCTGTGTGGGGTCTTGGGGGGTCAGGGCGGGGCTGTCGGGGGCCCGCTGAAGGCTGATGCGGCTCCTGATGACGTCCAGGGGACAAACGCCTTTGGTGGGGCTGAAACCGCCCAGCGGACCCCCGACGAAGCGAGGCAGAGCGGAAACGAGGACGGCGGGGGGCGGAGCCACCGAGTCCCCTCGGCTCAGCTTCAGCTCCTTGGCTTTGGTCTGGAAGGAGAAGAGGGGGGGCGACAGGGGGGACAGGTCTGGGCTGAGGGGCAGGTTTAACGGCAGGAGGGCCGGCTGGATGAGCTGAAAACACAAAACAAGATTCTGGATCAGAAACTGAACCGTTTACAGTTCAGCTGAGTCAAAACCTGAGTCCAGACTCGGATCTTTACCCGGTGCGTGGTGCTGCTGCTCGTCGCTCCTCCTCGGCCTTTAACAGGAAGTGGAGCGAGCAGCTGCGGCTCCATCAGCGCTACGTTAGCTTTAGCCTGCCGCTGAGCCCCCAGCTTGGCCTGAGCCATCAGGGTGGACTTGTTCCGAGTGCCCGGCGGCCGTCCTCTGCCCCGTTTCACCACCGCGGGGCCGTTTGGGTTCACGACCGGGCCAGAACCGTCCACGACCGGGCTAGAACCGTCCACGACCGGGCCAGAACCGTCCACGACCGGGCCAGAACCGTCCGCAACCTGCCCATGAGACAAGAGGAGTTTTAACTTTTTTAAACATTTCATTCTTTCTGCAGTTCGGCTAGAACCGTCCACGACCGGGCCAGAACCGTCCACGACCGGGCCAGAACCGTCCACGACCAGGCCAGAACCGTCCGCAACCTGCCCATGAGACAAGAGGAGTTTTAACTTTTTTAAACATTTCATTCTTTCTGCAGTTCGGTTTGATTCTAAATTAGAGGATCTTCATTTCAAAATAAAAGTCTCTGCAGTATAAATTGTGGATATAAGCAGCACTGACTTGTAATTGTTTTGTTAACATAAATTATATTTTGTGTAATAAAAAACATTTGGAAAATGTGTTCACATTTCAGAATAAAAATAATCTGAAGTCTTATTTTTTTTCAAAATAAAAGCTGAAATGAGTTTAATTTCACATTTAATCTGGGCTGTCCTGTTTTTTATTGGGCTTTTGAGACGTTTGTCCTTGAATCAGAACTGAGCGGTACTTACAGCAGTTGGAGGAGGAGGGGGAAGAGGAGGAGGAGGTGGAGGAGGAGGCGCTGCAGGCAGGACCTTCTTCTCCTTGGGTTTTGGACCTGGTTTCCTGCCTCTGTGAAGAGGTTTTCGTCCTCGTATCGCTCTGGGTTTTGGCGAGATGGGGGACTCCGGGACCTTGAAGTCTGCTCCTCCGGCTCTGAGGTGGTCTTCGTACGGCAGCAACAACCTGAGACACAGTTAGAGACTCACTGTCTGCTTCTACGTCTGGATCCTGAGAACATCAGGTCAGAGATCCTCGTTCACTCCAGCTGTGACCCTGCTGTGTGTCATCCATATACCATCAGTAAAAACAATCTGTTTAAAGTACCTGTGACGTCAAATATTTTTATGTATGAATGCATTTTTAGAAAGATAACATTGATAAAATATTGCAAAAGAAATTTCATGTCGCTGAGATGAACAGTTTGCCTGTGAAGTAACAGGAAGTGATGTCAAAGGGGAATGTCTGCATGTGAAGAGAGCATTGTTACAGTGACTAACAACCCAGACTGTAGAGAAGAATCTGTTTCTTTAGATTATTTTGAGTCACTATCAGAGAGATGAAGCGTCAGAGTTTAAATAATATTGTTTTAATAAACAAAAAGCAGAGTTTTATTTGTTAGAGTTCCCCTTTGATGTCACTTCCTGTTTCACTTTGGCTGAAAACATGCTGGTTATGAGACAAAATGGGTTAAATCGTGTGTATTATTCTAACTTTCTTAAATTTAAAAATGTTTTTTGACTTTTTTGCATTTGAAGGATTTGCATGTCACAGGCACTTTAATCTTGTTGTTGTGTTTGTGTAATTGTGTTGCGTCATGTTGTGTTGTGTGTCCAGACCTCTCATAGTGTCTCCTGGTGCAGGTGGCAGCACTGGTGCTTCCTGGACATCCTCCCAGCTCGTTATAAACCACTTTCCACAGACGCTCCATCGTCACCTGAGACACACAAACACTTCACTTCCTGTCTCTTTAAAATTTTCAAAATAAAAGGTTTTATTGTGGGAAATAATTCTGCATAAAGCAATAAAATCATTTTCTGTTCAAAAGTTCTGATGCAACTTTTATATTTTTCTGCCAATAACAAAATGAACGACACAACGAACCTTTTTGTATCCTCCGAGCCGTTTGACCACAGAGAACATGAGGAAGAGGTCAACTGTTGAATCCAGCAGCAAAAATAAAGAAAAATAAAAAAACACGGTCAGTTGGAAGAATTTAAACTAAATAGTTTTTTTTTTGTCTTAAAGCAAAAGTAAAATGCTTTCAGCTCCAGAATAAAGTTCAAGAGTTTTTATTTTTATAACTTTTAGGGTTTGTTGTTTCCTCAAAGATAATCTGCTGCAGCGTCACATAAAAACTAATTTATCCGGTGTTCTTTTTTTAAAAATCCTAATAAATCCCAAAACGATGCGAAGCAGAAAACTGGAGTCCTCACTCTTCTTGAAGCCCAGGTTGGGGACTTTGTGGATGGGCGACCCGTGGTGCTCCATGAAGATGTAGAGCTGATCCAGGAAGAGCTGCTCCTCGGGGTGAGGGAGCCAGCTGCCCTCACAGCCCACCTCCACGCTGCCCATCACGTTCTCCTGCAGGGAGGGGGGATTACAGTGGATCTGATTGCTTCCTGTCCTTATTTATGGTTTTATTTACCGCAGCGTTGGGCTGCACACGGCTCCGGCCACAAACCTTCATCCTGTCGATCCACGACTCCGACTGGCTGGAGGTCGGAGAGTCTCTGCTGTCGCGGCTCCTCCTCTTACGAGGTCGTCCTCGCAGACTGAGAGATGGACATCCTGCAGGAAACGCAGATTTAAAAACATCAATATCCAAACCTTAGCTAAAACTAGAACAATCAACATAAACAGGCTGCAGGACAAGGGAATGAAAACTGTTTGATTTGTCTGTAAGAGCTCAGAGTATCCAGCAGGGGGCAGTGTTGACCCTGACTTTATTTGATATAATGGTTAAAAAAAATAAATAAGTAATAATAATAATATGTATATATTAATCTGAATGCTGGTAAACATAAAGTTCTGCAGATGTTAAATCAAGAGAAGGATTCTGTGGACTTAGTTTTTGTTTTTTTTAGACTAAAATGACAGAAATAATCTGAAAAACTACATAAAACAAAGTGAGGAATCTGCCTTTAGTCTCAGTTATTATAAATACAATGCGATGAGTCAGAGGTCAGGATTTGTTCCTCTGGGCTGCAGAACTAAGCTGCTGAGGTCAAACTAGGAGTTAAGATTAGATATTTTAATCTGTTTGATGCGACTCCAGTTAAAATGAGGACCTGAAGAAGCAGAATTTAAAAATGGAGCTGCTGTTTGAGCATAAAAATAGATTAGATAAAAGTACCAACATACTAGAAAAACGTAGCTTAAAGTTAAAAGAAGCAAATCCAAACCTTAGCTAAAACTAGAACAATYGTCGCTAAATGCTAGCTGAATGCTAGCAGACTCCTCGTCTCCAGGTGTCAGATAATCTGAGGTGTAGAAGCAGCTGTGCACTCACTGAACTGCCAGGAGAAGCAGGCACTGCTCTCCAGGGTCGGGTGGTTGAAGGTGTCCCTGCAGTACATGACCCGGGCGCCGGGCAGAACCTTGATACCCCCCAGAGCCAGCAGGTGGGGGTCCTGCAGCTCGGGGCCCCTGGCTCCGTCCTGGATGCGTCTCTGCAGCGAGCGGTAGCGACAATACTGAGGGTAGCTGAGGACTTTGACTCCTGGCTGCTGCAGCGCCTCGTCTGAGGAGGGAATCAAAGAACCGACCCGTCAGAACSAAACGGACCCGACTCAAATACAAGAAAACATTTGTGTGGTTCCCAGGGCTCGGTCCGTCTCATCGTAGTTATTGTTCAGCTGAGTGTTTTCTCACAATTTGTTACAGAAACTGAAGAGCAATCAGGGTTTTTTTACCCTCAGTTTTGACTTCCAGGAGCTGCTTCTCCTCCTGTGGGTCTTCGGTGGCGTTGCTGCTCGGCGGAGGACTGTGGACGCCGTTGGTCTCATCGGGTGGCGACTTCGGGTTTCTGCTCCAACCTGCCGACTCTGAACAGGACCACTGCACCAGGTCCTCCACCCGGACCACCATCTTCCTGGACACGGCCACGACCTCATCCTAAAGAGAAGAGAGAGCAGCACAACGGCAGGTTTAAACACTAAAATGTTTCACTCCAGCTGATGACGTCTGCCTGCTGTGATTATAAATTAATATCTTTTGTCTTGAAGCTTAAAGAAGCCCCGCCTCCACTTTACCTGTGCAGGTGAGAACGTGGAGCAGGACGTGTTCTGACAGGAACATCTTAATGTTTGTGTGAGAACAGAACAGAATCTACAGGAGGATCAGATTTAAAACAGGAGGTTTTTCTGCTAAAATCTAACCTTTAAATCAGTTTTTATTTTAAAAGATTTCATGTTTTTATTTCATGTTTCAGTTTGAGAAGCTGCTCAGCAACAGATGATGTTTACAACTCACAAACATGAAACAGGAAGTTCCATTTGATAAACTCTCACATCAACTTTTAAACATTACTTTTTATATTTGAACTTTGGTTTAGTATTTACTGAAACTTTATGATATCTATAGTTTTTATTTTCAGATGGAAAATCATTTTTTAATTTTCAGTTCTAAGTTTGAGACATTTTTACTATAGAAAAATAAACTGTAAAATGGTTCTGGTTTTTGTAAATTCAAGATAAATATTTTTTTTATTTTTACTGGATTTATTTTATATTCTGTGAAGATAAAAACAGAGGTTTAATTTAAAATTTGCAAACATATTAAAGTACTTTTTTTTGCCCTGAACATTATTTTTTTCTACAGCATCTCTTTGCATCACTCAAAATAAAAAGTCGACAAAAACTCAGTTTGTAATTTTTGTTCCAGTTGTCATAAAGAAGATAAAATCTGTTTGATTTACAGACCTGACTGGTTACTGGTTCAAAGGTTAAAAACTGAACATTATTGTTCTGATCCAGTTTAAAACATGTTTTAATGATAAAACGTTTACAACAAGCTACAGGAGTTAGCRTGTTAGCATTAGCTTCCTGCAGGGACCTCCTCGAGTCCAGATTCCTTCAGTCCTCTAACGGGCCTCTCAGCGGACTCTGTTCTTCACATAAACACCTGCTGCAGATGTTTGAGAGCTGCTCAGTCCTGATGCTGGATCTATTCAGGGAACAAGGACTAACCGGACCCACCTGGGTCCTACCTGAGTCAGCACCRTAACCCAGAATCTGTAAAGTGTTATTAAATATGTTATTTTATGTTATATTATTAAAAACACTGATAAATCCAACCCATAACTTGCATCTGTGCAAAATTCAAGTCTTTGTTGATCCTCTAACAGACTGAAACTTTTCTCACTCCTGTTCTAACTTTTCTTTTTGTAAAACAGATGTTATTCTTCAGCTGAGCGTGCACGCCGAACAACAACCTAYATCAACTTCCTGCTCCAGTCGGCCTCTTTATGCAGAAACAGGAACTGCTGAACAAAYGCAAACGCTTTGTGAAAATCTGATCATCAGTTTGAATGAACAGAAAACAAAGATATGTATGAATTTTCAGCCTCACCTGAATGAATTTAAACCAGCAGGAGAAAGAAACTTTAGTTTGATTTTTGCAACAGATTGTGTGTTTGTGCTCTAACGCTTTAGATCAGGGGTGCCCAAACATTTTCCCCGAGAGGGCCAAAATGAAAATCTGTCCACGGCTGCGGGCCAATTACAGTAATATAATACATGAAATTCAAATACTTTTTAAAGTAAAGTCCTTTATTTTTAATGATCAAGCTATGCAATGGCCCTCTTTGTCTGTGCACTTGGAGAAAGTCTGCTATACGCTTAAGTAGCAAAGGCTCATGGGACATGTCATAAATTGATAAACATGAGTTTTTGTGGCCTTATGAAGTGTGAAAATCTACATGCAGGGTTAGATCTAATCTAAATATTTCTTGTTGTCTTTCATGTTTCATGTTTAACCCTATTAAATCAAAGATAAGGTCAGAACAATGAATGAAAACTACCATCACTACAGCCCTTTTTATATAGTCATTTGACCAATGGAAATACTGTGTTTCTACCTATAGGATAACAGGTTACAACCTTATAACTTTGGCAACTGTTGGTGGGCCAAATCAAATGGCTTGGCGGGCCAAATTTGGCCCGCGGGCCCCACTTTGGGCTCCTCTGCTTTAGATCATTAAAGATAATAAAAAATGTGACTTTCAGAAAAAAAAAGGTTTCAGACAAGTCATAAGATTTAGGTTTGAGCTGTTTATTAGTTTGTTTTAGAGGTTTACATGTGAGCCGCAGCCTGAATTTATTTTTAAAACTCAACAATACATTTAGAAATCATATTAATAAATCAGAWGTTCAGATTTTATTCCACACTTCAGACACAAACGATGTTAAATAAAACGCTCATCAGCAGCAGAACCTGTTCAGATTCCTGCCTGGAGATGTTTGGTTAAAAAAAGGCAGCGGCGTTTGAGACGAGGATATTATTAGGACTTAAAGAGCAGCTCCGACTAAATAAAGCAGGTCTTTATTCAGCACCTGACAGGAGTCGACATCAGCAGAGCTTATTTTAACACATCTTTATGTTCACTAAAAGACARAAATAAATCAGATTTTACATCATAAATGAGATGATTTGCTGCTGAATTTAATGAATTTTAATTTCTAAATAATTTCTAAGTAAAAAAGGACTCCACTAAAAACAAACTAATAAAAAAAATGTTGAAAACAAAAACAACAATTTAGACAAAACCAGCAGCATCAAACTGGAGTCCAGTTTCAGTCGGTCCTACCTCTCCGTGCTCTCTGGTCCGGCCCTTCGGCGTGTCCTCGGGCAGGAAGTAGAGCCTGGCGCTGGCCAGCAGGTGGCGCCGTGTCTGATCCTCCCATAGTAAGGTCACCTGCAGGAGACAGGTGAGTTTGTAAAAACATGTTTCTGCATCAGTTTCCTCGTTTAGTCTCAAATCTGAAACACAGACGATAAAAACTCAGGTGGAGGTAAACAACGTGACTGATTAGTGATCGCTRAGGTCAAAGGTCACGTTTTCTGTTTACTAAATCATCTGGAGTTTTAACTTAGAAAACGAGCCGAGTCGACTGTTTGAGGTTAACTGAATCTATTCAAATTTTATTTAAATATTACTAACTGCTCCAAGACAAGGATCAGTTTTTCACTTCAGTATTTCGTATTTTAAAAACAGAAACTTTATTAGTAATTAATTTCATTAATCAGTTAAGTATCTTACCTGAAGTTAAAAACCGTCATGTTTTTATATCATTAAAAACAGTTTCATGTTTGGGTTCTGCAGCTCGTGTCTTTAACGTACTGTGTGGGCCTGCAGCCCACAGGGGTCAGGATCCGACTGACGTTCGGTCATCAGCTATACGTCTCCTTCAAACCATGAAACCAAATTTTAATGTTTAAATCTATTTATTCAACATGTTTGTTAGAAATGATCTCCATCATATAAAGCTTGTGTCCAATTTAAGGCCTGCAGGCCAAATGTGGCTCTTTGAATATGCGACCAACATAACAGAACACATTATTTGGGTTTTTTATACCCACAACAGAAATCAATTTGTATGCAAATATGTGATTAACACTAATACAAAACGTAAAACATGCTGATTAGCTCATGCTAGCCTGATGTTTACTAAAATAATCCAACTTTTTTCTCTTCTTTCTTTCTTCTCTCTCAAATCCATCAGAATTACCTTTAAATCATTTAAAGACTACAATAAAATAAGGATTAGAAAATAAAAAATGCCTGACTAGTTCAGTTGTACTAGTTTTTTTGTGAAATTCGGTATAAACTATATGCATTATGTTTCTTCTTTACATGAATATGGTCTTTTTATTTATCCTGATGTGTATAATGATAAATAATATACCAGTAATAATAATAATATGTATATATTAATCTGAATGCTGGTAAACATAAAGTTCTGCAGATGTTAAATCAAGAGAAGGATTCTGTGGACTTAGTTTTTGTTTTTTTTAGACT